AAATATCTCGATTCTTATTCACGCGATTTAATATCAATCATCGATTTTCGTATTTACCTGATTTAAAAGATGCGCATTGCGATTCTTATTAACGCTATTTAAATATTGTACATTGCGATTCTTATTTACGAGAATTAAAAATTCAATATCGTGATTTGTATTTACACGCTTTTAAAATCTTATCTAGCGATTCTTATTCACGCGAGCTTAAAATCCAATGTCGTGATTCGTTTTTGCGGTTGTAATATCAAACATCGATTTTCGTATTTATCCGTGCTTTAAAAATTAGACATTATGATTCGTATTAGCGTGATTTAAAAATTATGCATCGTGATTTGTATTTACGTGATCTAAAAATTGAGCGTCATGATTTGTATTTTTACATTTTTAAAATTCGATATAGAGTTTCATATTCATGTGATTAAGTCTTCAATCAGTATTTACAGTAATGAATTTCCGAGAGTAATATTTTTTAAAGCTGAATGAGTGTTCGTTCAATACTTCATTTAATTTTTTTTCTTACAGGAAAGTACAGGCATATGCTTGTAAAAACAAATTAAAATGAGTGATATTAGAAGTTATTTTTGCAAAAAGCGTAAAACTGACGATTCGAGTCTAAACCCTAGTATAAGCACTAATCCAGATTTTATTTCAAAGACTAATCCTGGTACTAGTGCAAACGTAAGTGCAGCTCCAGATCTTAGTCCACAAACCGATGACAATCGACAAAATAGTGCAAAATTGGATATTGGAATATGCATGAATTCGGAAGTTCATATTAATGACGAACTTCGTTTGAAATTGTTGAAAAAGCCTTGGACTCCCAGCCAATTCTACGATTTTAAGAAAGATTTAAAACTTGACGCTAAGCGATCATTTCGTTTGGAATGGCTACAAACGTGCCCTTGGTTGGCGTACTCAGAAAGTGCAAAAGGGCCTGTTTGTCGTGTCTGCGTTTTGTTTCGACCTCCAGCTCAAAGAGGTGTGCAAGGACAATTTATTATTTTTCCTTGCGTTAAATACCACAAATTTAATGAAGCCGCAAAATCACATGAAACGTCACAGTGGCATCGTGAAGCACTCACATCTTCTAAAAATTTTGAAGATATTATGAACAGAAAACAACTGAGTGTATATGAATCTTTAGATTCAGCGCATAATAAAAAAATTGAAAACAACAGGCTTAAGCTTCGATCTATTATACCAACAATTTTGTTCATCGCAGAGCACGAACTTCCTTTTCGGGGCAAAAATGACGAAGGATCTGTTTTTAAAGATCTGCTGCGCTTTCGAGTTGAATCTGGAGACGAAGTTTTGAAGGCACATTTGAAATCAGGAGCAAGAAATGCACTGTACATTTCACATCAAATACAGAATGAGTTGATTCAAACTTGTGTAGACGTGCTTAGAGAGGAAATTATCAAAGATGTGAAAAAGGCTTCTGCTTTCTCGGTATTGGCCGACGAGACAGCAGATATCAGTGGTACAGAGCAGTTATCCATCGGTGTTCGGTATGTACATTTTGATGAGAGTAACAAAAAGACGACAATACGCGAAGAATTTCTCGGCTTTACCCCACTCGAAGAATTGAACGCTCAGTTTATTTCCAAAACAATCATTCAATTTTTGAATGATTGCAATTTTGATATGACACGATTTGTGGCTCAAGGATATGACGGTTGCGCGGCAATGGCTGGCCAAGAAGGTGGCGTTCAAAAATTTATTCGAGACAAATATCCTAAAGCTGTGTTTTTTCATTGTGCCAATCATGTATTGAATCTCGTGATCAATGACTTAAACCGCGTTAAGGAAGTACAGAATACTATAGGGACAACGAAGGAAATTATTAGCTTTTTCAGAGAAAGTTCTTTGCGACGAAAAGAAATTCCTAACATCCCTTTACTTTGTGAAACACGCTGGTCAGAAAAGTACAAGAGTCTCAGACGATTTTCTGAAAAGTTTGTTACAATTATAAAAACTTTAGAGGGCCTTACAGAAAAAGCGGCAAACAAAAACACCAAAGTGAAAGCTAATATACTTTTAACAGCTGCTACAACGCCAACATACATTGTATCACTTTTCGTTATTGCTACTTATGCTGCAAAACTTGAACCTGTGTGCAATCAGTTGCAAAAAGTAAACACAGATCTAAGAGAAGTAACTGATTATGTAGTCAAATTGATAGATGTGCTGCAAATTCATCGAAACAATGCTTCTGAAGAGTTTACTGCAATTTTCACGAAAGCGGAACACATTTGCGAAGAATTAGGCATTGAAATGAATCGACCTCGAGTGGCATCTAGACAAGTTCATAGATCGAATCTGCCTTCTGAAAACGCAGAAGAATTTTTCAGGAGGTCACTCTTTATTCCCTATTTGGACTCCATTATATCTTCGTTGAAAGACCGTTTTTCTTCTACACAAAGAAAAGCATTTTCACTCTTACAGCTTCACCCGAATGCGATGACCAAACTGGAAAAGGCGTCATATCTTGAAGTTTCAAAAGATATATATACTATGTATAAAGATCTGCTTTCACCAAATTTCATTACTGAAGCTACAACGTGGTATGAAATGTGGATGAATAGAGACAATTCTTGTGAATCCCTCGAATACGTTGATTTAGTTGTTGAGGCCACACCGTTTTATCCAGCTCTAGTGGAGGCAATGAAAATTGGCCTAACTCTCCCAGCTACTACGTGCACTATAGAACGCACTTTCAGTACAATGAGGCGCATCAAGACCTGGAATCGATCTGCAATGAATCACGAGAGATTAAGTAGTTTGTGCATGCTCAGTGTGCATAAAAAAAGAATCAAAGATGACTCAGAATTCATTGAAAATATTATAAACAGATTTGGACAGCAGGCAAGACGATTGCAATTCTTGTTTGATTAAAAAAATTTTAATTGTTATGCATCAATAATTGCTCAATTATTTGTTTTTGAATAAAAATATTTTTAATAAAATTTTTTATAACAAAACTTTTTTTCTGTATATCTTTAATTGTTGCGAAAAAAGCCAGGGGGGTGCAAGTGCACCCCCCTGCCGGCGCCCTTGTACACAGAGATGCCAACTTGCTCCGGACAGCGAATAAATATTTTCAAGTGGTAGTTTATTAATCGTTATTCTTGGTTCAATAAATTCAATTTAGTAGATTTTTGTCCACCACTATTTCTAAGCAATTCGTAAGCTTATACAATTCATCACTTTCTTCAGACATGTCATGTTATACTCTTTAAAAACCTAGCAAAATCTGTCTAATATTTGCAAATTCAATTTGTAGTTAGTTACCGTTAGGTCAGACGGGCAAGCAATATAAAATTAGCGTGGCATTTAACGTGTTAATTAAATTGTGGTGCAAAATGTTCAAAATTTTTGAATTCTAAGTGATACCCAATATTCTGAGTCAACTTTTAATATATATATATATATATTCTCTCTTTCCCCCTTTTTCCTCAGCTTANAATGAGAATAATAAGTAAGATCCTTTTATAACAGTATTTTTTAAAATAATTTTGAAGCTTGTTTGATGTTTTTATCTAACAAATTATCATGCAGGAAAAATACAATATTTATAATTAAAATAAAATAATAAATGATAATAATGAGCTTAAAAGGTATTAGAATAAACTAAGCGTGCGAAGCTTAATCATAATAAAATTAAAAGTTACTATGAGAGTTAAACTATAATTTATTATGAGTAACTCTATTTTTTGTTCTATAATTTCGTTAAATGTACGAACATTAAAAATAAGTTACCTTATTTTTTTAATGAGAGTAAACAATAAATTTTTAATTATTTTTTCTGCATAAATGAAAAAGTTTTAAATTTTGTGATCATATTCACACAAATTGAATTCACTTTTTTTAGTAACGGTATCCCTCCCCGTAATATATGGGGGAAAAAAAGCTGAAGGTATTATTTTGTGTTTCGTAACACTTATTCAAAACTGTTTCCAATTTAATGTCAAATTTTTTTTTAACTTGACGAAAAAAAAAACAAACACCCTATTGTAATCCCAAAATCTATAGAATTAAAATCACTATTATTTTCTTATAAACTGATTCAATTCCCGCTAAATTTCTCACTCGATGATTATCCAATTTACTAATATGTCGATTTACTGATTCGCCTAGTCACTGATTCGTTGCATACTTCATTTTCCATCTACGTTGAATTTGATACATCAATTCATTCACCCAACCATTTATTCATTATAAGGTTTCTATTCGAACAAATTTTATAGTTGCATAGCTTTAAAGAAGGCAGTAAATAGTGTGAAAGCAGTACAAAAGTTCAGTTTTTTGCGCTTTAAAGGTCATTCAAGTTGTTTAAAATCCATATGTTGATTATTTTGCAACTCATTGGTATGCATTCAAAGAAACATGTGCCTTTGTGGATCACTGACAGCACAAGATTTTTATAATTGATTAAAAACTTTGATTTTTAGATTTTGACGGAAAAACTCTAAATAAATAGCCTTTTTCCATGACGTGAAGCCATTTTTAATGACTTTTGACACCAAGGACAACCGAAAGTATTTATGTCTCAATAGTTAATGTGGAAGTAGTTAAACACAAAATAATTACTCACTCATTAAAATTTCATACATTTCTTAAAAAATGTCATTACATACAAATAGGTATGATTTCCTCAAAAAACAAGATGATCTGCAATTTTTAACTCACCAAAATCTTAAGAAGAGAAAAACACTTTTCGCCAAAAATTAAAAAGCTAGTATATGAAAAACATAAAAAACGAAACTTGTAATCTTACAAAAAATATTGAAGTTATTTCATCGTAGATTATGATTAACGCAAACCATGCTTTATTCTCATTTTCAAAGTTCAGATGGGAACTTTTTCTCCAATTAAGAAAGATTGTCATGAAACATTTTTTCGTTTGGAAGAAAAGAAAGAAAAAGAGGATCCACACCAAGGGAAAGAAAATTGACAAGCTTTCTGATGTTGGAGAACACACTCTTTTGAAGGTATATTAATATCTTTCATATATCTTGTTTTCAGAATCAGTTATATCATCTTAGATCATTTTTAACGCCAAGCATTTTCCATTTTAAGGTTCAAAAGGGATATGTTTCTCCAATTACGAAAGATTGTTATAGAACATTTTATCGTTCGCAAGAGAAGAAAGAAAAAGAAGATCCACCCCAAGGGAAAAAAAATTGACAAGCTTTCTGATGCTGGAGAACATACTCTTTTGAAGGTATACTAATATTTTTGTTTGTCTTGTTTTTCAAATCAGTTATTTCATCTTTGATCATTTTTAACGCCAAGCATGTTTTATTTTCTATTTAAAGGTTCAAAAGGGATATTTTTCTCCAATTAAGAAAGATTGTCATGGAACATTTTTTCGTTCGGAAGAGAAGAAAGAAAAAAGAAGATCCACAACAAGGGAAAGAAAATTGACAAGCTTTCTGATGTTGGAGAACATACTGTCTTGAAGGTATATTAATATTTTTTATATATCATGTTTTTCAAATCAGTTATTTCATCTTTGATCATTTTTAACGCCAAGCATGTTTTATTTTCTATTTAAAGGTTCAAAAGGGATATTTTCTCCAATTAAGAAAGATTGTCATGGAACATTTTTTCGTTCGGAAGAGAAAAAAGAAAAAAGAGGATCCAACCCAAGGGTAAGAAAATTGACAAGATTTCTGATGTTGGAGATCATACTCTTCTGAAAGTATATTAATATTTTTTATATATCTTGTTTTTCAAATCAGTTATTTCATCTTTGATAATTTTTAGCGCCAAGCTTGTTCTATTTTCTGTTTAAAGGTTCAAAAGGGACATTTTTCTCCCTTTAAGAAAGATTGTCATGGAACATTTTATCGTTCGGAAGAGAAGAAAGAAAAAAGAAGATCCACCCCAAGGGAGAGAAAATTGACAAGCTTTCTGATGTTGG